CCCAAAACCCCAAAACCCCAAAACCCCAAAACCCCAAAACCCCTAAATAGGCCAGGATATTTGAAACTCTAAACATAATATTTCTTAAATATTATTAACAATATTACAATGTCTCTACATAAAACTGAAGTTTATCAAGATCAGCAAGCTTTGAATCTGCAATTATTTGCCAAGAGTCAGACCCAAAATATTCTTTGGAAAGCTCCCCAAGAGAATTTACCACAGCTCAATACTGTGTCTGCAGGACTTACTTTTGGAGTTCAACAGGTGTACCCAGAATATCAATTAAACTATGAAAATGCCGACAACAGTCATACTTTTAATGAAATAGGGCTGCAGATGAAACTACCTGTCTATGGCTCTTCATATCAGCAAGCATGTAATTCTTTTGCTGATAATATTCCAATTAGTTTGAATGGATCTTATAACAGCATTGCGACCCCTCAAATCTACTCGTTCCAAACTGAAAGTTTAAAATTTCCAAGTAGCCAAGATATTAGATGCAATGCTAGTCTACCTAACAGAAATCATTCTTCATCCTTGGCTACTAAGACAGTCCATCAAGATGCAAATAGAGGCATGGATCCTGCTGTTCGAACTCAGTCAAAGCCTCAGAAGCCTTCAAAGAAATCTTCTTCAGTAAAGATGAATGAATCTAATCATAAATTTTGCTCTTGTGAGTTGACTCCAAAGCAAGCTTATGTTGCTAGCAAAGTTCTGACTGAGACCAACCTTGGCTACTTGAAATCTCTGAGTGACTACGACTACAAGATCAGAGAAAGAGAACATCCTGTGACTGGCAAGAGAACCTTAATGTACATCTGCCAGTTCAAAGGAAGCTGTCACAAAGAGTTTGAAAGATGCTGGAACCTTCTCGACCACTGCAGGATGCATTTCGGAGTTAAGCCTTATAGCTGTCCAAAGTGTGACAGAAGGTTCACTCAGAAAGGGAACCTAAACAAGCACTTGGGCACTCATAAGTAATTGTCTTAAACTTACTGTCTCTTCAAAATTTCTTGGTTTAGTTCTTCTGCTATTGTTTCACAGGAACACAAAATTTTAAACTCCTAGATCTAGGTTAGAAATCTTAGGCTTACTTTTAAACTCACTGAGATCCTCATGCTGGGAATCACTAGACAGCCGCTATGATACTCTGGACTTGTTTACAGATCTCTCTGCACTGTCTAAGGGTTTATTGAGCTAAAACCCGAGATCATATCTTTAGTTGATAGTTAAAATATGAAAATACGAAAACTTCAAACACATTTCTGAGAAAGATTTTATTAAAAGTTTGATTCATTGGGGAAGTCTTTATTTGCAAGACAAAAATGGAGGACAGTGCAAGACTTAGGAGACCTCCATCTTAATTACTGAATTTGTCATTTTGATGATGCTTAAGTTTGATATGGGAAATAATATTAAGTTTAGAATAGAAAACTTTAAATTAAGTTTTGCTCTAGCTAATCTCTGAACTTATACACATGAGGATGGTGTTTGTATAAATTAACTATAAATCACTTTCAAACATCTTTCTTTTTGCTTTCATTAATGCCAGTCTTTCTTTTCCTAGCCACTACAAGTTGGTGAAGCCCTAGCTTAATATACCTCTACTAATTTGCTAAAATGGCCTGAGCTAAGAAAACTCCCAAGCCAACCCTATAGCTCATCTTCAGCTTTAAAATCTTCCTATAGGAAGTCTGAGATCTGAATTACGAGAGTCTACCTTCTCAGGTTATTAATAAGGAAACTTCTAATGAGTTCAATATTTCAGTATATCTTTAAAGACTGCTTGTTGATGCCTCTTCAATAGGGGTGAACAGGAAGCAGCTTTAGTTAAAGCTTTGTACTACTAATGATAATGCTAAAAGAGTTTAGATCTATTGACCCATCATTTTAACTTAAATTGATTTAGCCCTTCAACACAAGTAACACTAAGAGTCCAATATTAGCAGAGAACTTATGAAGCTTCTTCACTGACAAAATAGGCAATCAAGCCATTACAACCTGGTTTATAAACCCTGAGCTTCATGGCTGAAGTCTCCGATTTTAGAATAGACTGCTGCACGAAGAGAAGATGGAGGACATATTAAAGTCTGTCTAATAGAGCTCTGAGTACAACTATGATAAACTAGGAGGCTACTAAAAATCAGTTAGAAGTAATATTATCGAACTTTCAGAAATTCATATCAGTGAAGTACTGATTATGAAAATTGTCAGGATTTCATATATTGTAAACACCTTAATTCAAGCTCCAGGACTCTCGTCATTAAAGTATAGCCTCTTTGACCGATAAAGACCCATCATCGAGCAAAATTTCTTTGAGTTAGGTAAAAAAGTAATGATTTAATAGTCTTCTATCTTTATTGAATATTCTGACTTTATGTAAACATTCCCCAAAATTTAATAAATATTGATTTACTGGTCTTCTTTTAGCTTTTCATGCTAAGCTAGACTTTAAAAGTTATTGAAGAAATTCTCCTATTGCTGAAGCCTTCCAAGGATTACTTCAAAACTTTCCACCTACTTAAATATTTATGAATCTCATATTTAAGAATCAACCAGTCTTTTTGTTCCATGCAAGTTTTGTGGGTAACGAGGCCCTGCTAAGAGCTCTCGAGCTACTGTCTGATTTCATAAATTCGGCTCTAATTACTCTGGGGATTACAGCTCTAAACTGGCCAAATTTATTTATATGAATTATGAATTTTTCATCAAGTAAAGAAAACTTAATGGAAAACTGCAGAATCGAGCATCCTAAAGCCTTAGAGAAGCAAGAGAGCTCTAATTATCATTTCCTCTCTTTTCTCTTGCTCATAGTGATCATCCAATACATTATTACTATATTCTCCAGAACTTTCCTCAGCCAAATAAAGTCTTTATAATCCTCAATAAAATGAGAAGATTCTGGCAATTTTACTAAAATCATTTCTGCTGGCTAAATGAACACTCTAATATGTTTTATGATTACGTCTATAGCTTTGTTTAATTCTCAGGCCATCCAGCCCTCCCAGGCTTCTCTTAGAAATTTATATGGAGTCAGAAATTTTCTAGTGAAGTACACATAGAAAGCTAGCAGTAATTTTTTGAGTAAGTCTTTTCATAACACAAGATGAACAGAGTGGAACACAAAAGGGTACATTTCGTTTTGCTAGTTTATGAAATTCGCCTCCTTCTGCCATTAAGGTTATATATGGATATAGTCCTATAGTTTCCCCATTTTCAACTACTAAACCGTCATTTGGGGTTTTGGGGTTTTGGGGTTTTGGGGTTTTGGGG